CATTTTAGATAGGGATGAGCGGTCTGGGGTAATGCCTGATTTGAATTGAAAGCGTCGAACAAAATCTTGAGCCATGTCGCCCAGTGTATGCCACTTACCAACATCTTGACGATTATGCCATTCCAAAGCTGCCCCAATCAAGCTCTTACTGAAATACGCCATCAACAAATCATCTTTCTCGCCAACACTTCTCATTTCACTGCAATAAACCCTCAAATGGGCTACCGGATCTCCACACCCATCATACAAGTTAAACTTTGGCACTTTAAACCCCGCGGGCAGGCTAACGTCAGGGAACATACACAATTCTTTGTAAGACATGTTAACCTGGTCTCCCATCCCTTGCATGTTCTTTAAGGACTGTTCTATGCTTTTCAGCTTTCTGGACATCTCATCTCGCCCTTCTTTTCCTGTGATCTTTTCATTTTCAACATGAAGCTCATTCCAAGGGTTCTGATTGTATGAGTCAGGAACCTTGTGGGCAACCTCTGAGGGGTAATATTGGGCATCATGAGCTTTGAGTGGGTGTTCATTGTTGGGGATAGTGGATAAGACATGAGGGCAATATTTGGGAAAGGTAACTGGAGGATGAGTGATGGAGCTACTGGGGTGGTTGGGAAAGCTGTGATAAGCAAGTGGATCTAGAGAGTATGGGGGATCATCTGGCACTATGACCGGAGTTTGGGTGAGGGCGGCGTCTAGGAAGCTAGGTGGTGGCGGGGGTGGTGCCTTCCCAGTCATCCAGGCCTGATACATGTCCGTCATGTGTTGGCTTAACATCCTTACCTCATCAACCAACCCACTGTCCTGTTCAACCAATTGCTTTTGTGCCCCAGTATCAACCAACTTAATTCTGTTGTTGTCTGCCATTGTCTTTTAACTTTATGTTGTAGAGAGGAGTTACCACTTTAAGAACCACAAACCAACCACCCTTCTGCTATGCAAACAAAATGAGGCCATCACATTATAGTTAGGACATTTAACATAAAATAATCTCATTTTACGTGCAATGCACCTAGCCACAGTTATCGGTTCTAAAATGACTCCGAGGGTACGAAGGTCAGCTGGCGTCATCCCAATTTATTCATTTCAATCCTCTTTTTTCTTTGCATTTTCTAGCACTTGCTTGCTCAATTTTCTTCCCCTTTTTTTGCTAATTATCACTCTTTTCTTTCCTCTCATTTCTCACTTCCCATAATTTCACCCCTTTTTTTCTCTCTTTTTTCTTCTTCTTTTTTTTTTCTTTTAATAAAAAAAATGATTCGATCGAACTCTATGTAGGTTGCCTATGTATCATGACCTCGCATGAATCAGACCTTTGCGTAGTTCTGGAAGATCGGAAATAAAGCAAACAAACAAACGTTCTCTTTTTTTTTCCTTACCTTAATGACTACTCTGATGAGAAAAAGGAAATAAAAGAAGCAAATTTTTTTCTTTTTGAATTTTCTAGAATTATCCTATTCTACACTTGAGCATATTTTTTCTTTCTTTTTTTTTTTTGAAATAAATACTCTATGGGTAATTATTAAGGAAAAATCCTAAAAGAGAAAAATATTTTTTTGATTCCTTTTTTTTAGGAAGGAAATCTAAAGAATAACCCAGAGAAAAAAAAATATTTTGAATTTTCATTTGATATCCCTGAAGAAAGATTTCGAAATGAGAAATGAACAAGATAAAAAATATTTTTGGATTTTAGTTTTTGATTACCTAAGGAAGAAACTTTAAAGATAAACAAAAGATAAAGTATGTTTTTTTTTCTATGTACAATATCCTAAAGTTCTAGTGAAAATAAAAGAATTTTTTTTTCATTTTTTCGTTAATTTTCCCAAGGAAGAACCTCAAAAGAAAATCCTTTTTTTTTTTTTGGTAATATCTTAAAAGAAAACTTTTAAAGAGGTACTAAAAGAAAATACTCTTCTCTCTTTTTTTGAATTTTTGGTCTTAATGTACTAAAAGGAAATATAAAGCAATTTTTCTTTTGAGTTCTAAATATTAATTTCCTAAAATAAAACCACCTCAAACTTTCATTTTTTTTTTATTTTTAATTTCTAGGAGTAGTATTTCTAAAGAAAATTCTAACAGAAATATAAAAACGCAAAATATCTCTTTTTTGAATTTTTGATTTATAATACATTTTCAAATGCGAAATAGGAAATAATAACAAAAGACTCGACAAACTTCACTGGACTATGACAGACTCTAGCATCAACTAAATGACTGAATACTACTATACAAGACTAGAAAGCAAAACATGAACAACAGATTCAAAAGCATCAAAAGACTCCTCAGGCAGCTCCTGAATGCAGTGGTCCTGGGGTATCTGTCATGCTCAAACCCCGATAAGTAGATTCACACCTGTATGAGTAAACTTCAATCAACACTATGTGAGACAATAACATTCCCTACTAGACACATGCAAGACATGGTTGTGACTATTTTTCTAAAATTAACCTATGCGGCTAAAAATGCAAGATTTGGCTAAGACCCCGCGAAGCCAAGAACCTAAGATTTACTAGGAAGACCGGACCCTATGTGGGTTGCCTATGTATCACGGCCTGAAAGACGAGAATCAGGTATGCGTAGTTCGGGTAGATTGGATACGGGCGAGAATTAAAAAAAACTAATTTAGAGAAAAATATGTTTTTGTCTTGTCTTTTTTTTTTTTGAAAAATGATGAAACATGTAAACTCTTTTTGGATTTTCTTTTTTCTCTTTTTTTTGGATTTTTTTTTTTGAAAAAAATGATGGGAAAGTGCAAAATCTTTTTTGGATTTTTTCATTTTTCTTTTGTCCTTTTCTTAACAAAAATGTGACATAAAACATAATTGGGCCCTCCTTGCTTTATTTTCACACTTCACGCTCTCTCTTTTTTTTTTCTTTTTTTCATTTGCCCTCAACTATCATTGGTCCGCCAAATGACCCTTTTACCCTTGAAAATTGCAACATGTAGCACATAGGATGCATCAGGATGGTCTGTTATTTTGGGTACACCTGTCCTAGACGGACCCAACCCCTGTGTTGAGTCCCCAAAGTCAAAATGCACATGATGCAAACAAGTGTTCCTACTAGGGATCCGGCATGAGGCTATGTTATACTAGGTTTGAAAACCTGGGTTTATTTGTTCTAGACCTGGCTTACCCGAGCGGACAGCTCGAGCCGGGGGGGGGGGGGGGGGGTAGAGCGTACCGGGAATACAGAAGCTTCACCGGCTTTGCAACTTGTCCGAACCTCGTTCTAAAATTGGGATATGACTCTAACAGAAAAGAAGTTACACGAAGTGCACACTTCCTAGATGATTTAGAAGACTCAGAGAGATGAGGGTTTCGCAATAATTTATATACAGTTCAACAATATCAAAGCGGTAAAAAGCAACATTTAGTACATTAGGCCCAAACATGTAAATAAAACCAGATAACAAATAAAGCCAAATATAACAATTATTCTATGCTCGAATTCTTGAACCCTGAACCAGAAGTTCTGGGTTCTTATCCCCAGCAGAGTCGCCAGAGCCGTGTACGGGTGCATTTTGTGAGTTTGACATGTTTTAACCTGAGAAAAAAAAATTCTTGAAAGAACAAGTGTAAAAATAGCGTGTGTTATCAGAATCAGTACCGAAATAACCACTATTATCTTTAGCCCCACGATGGGCGCCAAACTGTTTACCTCGAAAATACGAGTAACAATTAAACTTGTTTGTGGTTTTAAAGATACGTGATTTAGTTCAATACTAATTAATAATCAAGAAATCAAACATATAAATTAAAGAACTAAGTTGAATCAAACCAGTGCTTAAGCAAATCTTGACCTCGAGCTATGATGTCCTCGAGGTAGGTCAATAAGAACAATAAAGTAAAGACAATAAAGTTAAGAGACAATTCTGATGAGTGATGAGCAAGAAGTGAAAGAGTATATTCTTTTGCCAATGATTCATGATGCGTTATAAATGATTGGTGTCCCCTTATATAACAGGGGAGCCCTAAATAAGGTACATTTCCATTTACAGTAAAGAATCTTATTGGGACAACTGTCTAACCGCCTAGTACAAATCCGTACTAACTCGTACAAATCTATTTCGGAATTTACGCTGTGATCTTGGGGCCATCGCGAGAATCTGCTTCTTTGTTATAAAACCATAACGGTATTATCTCGAGGTTGGTCGTACTCGGCCCCGGTGTTGATCGAGCAATCCGATCTTCGAGTATAATATTCTGCCCTCAGGCTCGAGCCCGACCTATTTCAAGTTTGTTTCTCGATACAAGCCCCTCGAGCCTACAAAATCGAGGACACAAGATTTTACCGTATACAATATGGTTTGGCGAAAATATCGGAGATGCACATAAATCTTTACCCTTCGTCAAGTGACTTGAATCTATTCATCATCTCGCCCAAAAGCAAATTTTCACTATCTTGATATGTCCATCTTGATTATTGTACCTATATGAGTTTTTACTGTTCTATTCATCCTTTCATATAGTAAAATGCAAAATTTTGAACTACCCCTACTTGCACCAACTAAAGGTAAGTTCACGGTATTCACTTTTGACACTGCTTTTTCAAGGGGGCTTCATCCATGACTTCTGTGTGTTGGCATGTTGCTGTGAACTAGTCCAGGAACAGAGGGAATGGAGATTAGGAGATTTTCAGGTGCCAATTATTTACCTAAGTAATTAATTTTACTTAATTTGAAGTAAAATCCTATTGTGCTAGTTGTCTCTTAAAACTGAATTTTTGCACAAGACTTCTGAACACCAACACAAGGCCTCCACCATCCCAAGATATGAAATCCTAAGCTCCTTCAGATTACATGGACATTACTGCACTCAATTTCACATTGTTTAGTCCTCCTTGTAATTGCAATTATAGATGCATATTCTTAAACCTTCATCAATGTGTACAGCTGATCTGATTTTTATATCTCTTGATTTTCTAATGTTGTCCCATTGGAGGCATTTAGTATATTGTGGTAGAAAAGGACATTGACAAATACATGTTTTTAGGAGTCACCACAAAATCCTTCTTCATTTAAGTAACAATACATTCCAATTAAATCAACAAGGGGATAAAAGATAAATCACCAAGTCTTCTTTGCTCAGAAAGCTAAAACACACTTTGAGCTTTTTTTTTTGGGTTTGCTCCCTCAACTTCTTAAAAAATGATTAACCACAGAAAGTGATAAAAGGAAATGAAACAAATTAAAGCACCCCAATTACAATAAATGAAAGGCCTAAGCCTGTGAAATAAATGTCTTAACAACTTGAAGTTTAGTCAGGGTTATCATCTAGTAAATCTGCAGTCGAGTCTAACTTCTTGTCCATTACCACTTATGCTACTCATCTTGATCATAGAATTGGCAAATGCTTTAAAGAACTCATCCTGAGAGCCAGCATACTTTGAAACTAGTGTTTTGGTCCTTGTAGTAGCGAGCAAAGATTCATCAGAAGAGAAAAGGCTCTTGCCATTCAGTAGAAGCTTATAGTAGGCGTTGTCGAATAAAGTTGTAGTAGAATCCATGGTGGCACCTGCATTTCTAACCTTGTTGTGCATGGGGCAAACATTCTGCAGACTGGCTGCAAATGATGTTTGTAGTGTTGGATCAATGTCGTGACCATTGTCGAACTTGTGGATTCTATTTTGGAAGGAAGAACAATGAGAGAATCCAAGAGTGTGTCCTCCTGTTAACAGAGTAAGAAATAGCTTTAATTTGTTAACAAAGAAAAATCTTGAGCCGCTGTAACTAGTCTAGGAGATATTAAATTTTTCTTTGAGCCAAGAAGATCGAAGAGCAATTATATATAGTTCAAATTGAGAGCCACGAATGCGACCAATAGAAGAACATGGAGTTGCTTACCTGAAAGTGCAACCAAATCATCCAAAGAAAGGCCTTTTTGGGCAAAGTTCTGTTGCAATTGAGAAATATTGAAGGTGGGAGAAGGTAGTTGCCGCGTTTCAGTGGCCTTGGAGATTCTTCCATCTTTTCTACCTTTTGGCACATCCCAAGTAGGACCTCCAGACTGGACACAATACATATGCCCAATGAATAATTTCATATATTAATGGAGAAGTAATATTGGCTTTCTTTTTTGGTTGCTAGGAATATTTTTAATGGTAATATCATGTTTATATTTATTTGCCAGCAGTGAATAGTTTAGCAGTAGATATATAGAACTTACAAGAACAACAACATCCCGAGCAGCGAGAGCCAAAATATCAGCACAAGAGACGACTCCAGGGCACAATTCCTCGATTTGTTTCTTAACAGCGTCGATGACATAAAATGCGTGCAATGAGATGTTAGGGGGTCCATCTTTTTCGGCTTTGTTGTTTCTTGTTGAGTTCAGTAGCACAGAGCCATCACAACCCTATAAAACCATATATAATTAGTTTATATTATACTCATCATAATTCATAACCCCTAAGAAAAGCTACAACATAAAATGATCACAACAAAAAGAAATACATTCTTGGCAAGTCACGCTATGAATAAATGAGAAGTGTTTGTTGGTCCTCAGGGCAGGGGAAAAAATAGGAAGTTTGATATTTACTTCCCGTTTCATTTTATATGAGTATGTTTGACGACTAGGAGCTTAAGAAGGAAGAAGAATTGTGGTCTACAATACATGCATTTCAGTGGCTATAAGAGCATGTCATTCGGGATAAGAAACTTAACGTGTAAAGCTAAAGAAGTTCCAAATGTAAAAAGATTGACATTCTTTTCGAAACAGACTAAAAATTAAAAAGTGACATATAAAATGAAACACACGGAAAAATTAGCTACAAAACAACGTAAGAGAGAAGTGGAAATTTACTCTAACGAAACAATCATGGAAGTGCATCCTCAAAAGCGCAGCTGGAACAGTTTTATCATTCAACATAGCTTTCTTGACAACTTTTGTGATGGTTGACTCGGCCTTGGGGCATGTATTCTCATAGTAATTGGAGCTTAGTGCGTTGACTGCAGTACTGGAAAACAATGCAAAAGCAAAGACTAGAGCAATAAGACATGATCTTGGTACTGCCATAATAACTACTTATTTTTGCCAAATTAAGCCTTTCTTTATGCTTACTTTAGACTTTGCACTTTGCTGTGAGACATAAGGAGCCATACAATGTGCATTTAAAGTGTAGAAATTGTACTAGAGGGCAAAAGACTACACAAAGAGTTGTTACTGGAATTGGTTAGGTTTGTTAGCAAGTTTGGTCAGCTAGAACCATTAGAGTGATATGGAACAGGAGTAGTTTGATATTCTTACTAATTAATTTGATTCTGCTTTGTGAAGCTGCACGTTCATTTTCTTGAGTCTGAAGTGATCCCAATGATTACTGGTTTTGGTTGCCACATAGAAACTAGTAGGAATTATGCCATTGGTTGTTCAAATACATGGGATCAGTATGTCTGATGGATTAATCCAAGATTTTAAGTTAAATATATACAATATACCATAGTATCCAGTCTCCGCCCCATTTTACAGCGGTATCATTAGAAACTCTCGTTTGGTAGTTTTTTTAGAAAATTCTGTATGCATGCAGTGGCTTTAAAGTTAGTTAAATCGCTTCTATAAGGGTGGTATAAAAATTTAATACCACCTTAATACTCTGTTTGGTTAGCAAATCAGGTATAAGTTATCCCGGTGTTAATTTTAACACTGGGATAACTTATACCTTATAGAAGGTGGGGTAATTAGCACCGGTATAACTTGTACCTTCTTCTTAGAAATTATGCAATTGTCATTCTTAATACAACATACCAAATAATGAATAAACAACAATCCCAGCATAACTAATCCCAGCATAACTTATCCCAATATAACTTATACCGGCATAACTTATACCGGTATAAATCATATTCCAAACAAATGACCGCTAAGTGAATAACGAGTTCTTGTTATTAGGTCACAGAAAGTGGAGGAACAAGCTTCTGCTTAAAGCTTCCCTTTTAGGTTAGAATAGCAGTTGGAAAGTGCGGTTTATGAGGCAAGCAAAATGACCAAACTTTTACTACTCTAATCGAGGAATGTTATTGTTGCATTGGTGGGTAGGTTTGAACTTTGAACTAATAAAGTATAGATTGTCTTACAGTTGCAGTTTTAATATTCAGAAAATTCTAATATCACATGACCAAGTTAAGTAGAAGCATGTTATGCCGGGACATTCTGTAAGAGCTCTGAATTTTATTCTTGTGTCATGAAATATATAGAATCTGATCAACTACTTTTGTCACCATGGTATCCAAGAATCTGTTTACACTAATCTATTGAATACATAATATTCTTCTTCACATACATTATTTTTACTAAATCATTAACTAATACACATTGTTCTCACTTTAATTTATTGTTTAATCATGGTAAATTAATATGATTTGATGAACACACAGCCTGTATTTATATTTGACTTGAGTCTATCCAGCATCTCACCAAAAATCAGTCTTTCTCTATTTTGAAGAGAAATGAATTGAAGCCATATAAGAAATTTGTAACTTTGGGCATGTCCATCTTATTTTTGTACCAAAATGAGTTTTTAATGCTCTACGTTTGCCACTAATCACCAAAAAAGGAAAAGGAAAAGGAAAAGGAAAAAAAAAAAAAAATACACGCTTCACTGTATTCACCAACTCTTGTTTGCTACAAGACAGAAATATTTGTAGTGAAAATGATAAACAGGAATATTTGGTACAAGAAAATGGTCATATTACAAGAGTACAAGAAAGGGGAAATCAAAAGTATAATTATACAACTGTCTTATTCATCCTTTCATATCGTAAAATGCAATATTTTGAACTGCCCAACTTAAACCAATACGTACGTACTAATTGTTCTGTTTTTCACCAGCTTTATTTGTACCAGACCACCAACTCCTCAATAGTCAAGCCACTACAGAATTAATCTTCAATTCCTCCTTGAGATTCTCTTTCTCCAATAGTATATATATCTGAATAAAAGCAAAAGAAAAATGGGCATGGGCGGGCTGCTTTCTGTAAAAAGTAAGCACGCCGCTGCCTAAGAACCCAAGAACTCTAAAATCATATTCTTTGACCATTTTCTGTATATCAGAACTGAGTGTGGCTTGAGAATGTCTGTCCAAATTTCCAACCAGCTGGAACAACATTTAAGAATGTTTTTGCGACACCATCAGTGGTAGTGACCTTAAAAGATATGGATTGTCCATCAAGATATGCATTGGATTGCCAACTTGATCCCCAATTCCTAGACATGGTCAACCAGTTTGTGTTTGAGCCTTTGATTTGAACAGATTTAACAGATCCTGCCCCTGCTACATTGCTTACCAAGACTAGTTCAAAATAGTCCCTTCCATTGATTGTGAATCTAACTCCATGTTTCTTCTTGCAAGGAACTCTGCTCCACAAAAAACATCAAGTATGTCAAATCAACTTATCTGTTAAAAAATGTAAAGGACTCAGAGACGAAGTTATGATTTGAAGTTTACGGGTTCAGTATTCTAGTCTTTTTAAGTTACTAGGTTCACAACTAATAATTTGTACATATTAAATGAATTTTACAAGACAAATACCAAATTTGGACCAAAGTTCATGGTTCAGCCAAACCCGTAATTTGGTGTCTGGCTTCGCCCCTGAAAGGACTTATGTATAAGTCAACTCGAAAATCTAATTTATAAGGTGAGAAGTGTCTAAGACCATACAAGGACATAACATATCATTCTCTCAATCAATATGAGATGTTCTAACACCTTAAGAAGGATGAACAATATAACACGGAGGCCTGATATTGGATAAATCAAGAAGTACAAATATACCTACCTCTCATACCATATAAAGAAATGGATATTGAACCTAACTCAATCTCAAAGTTAGCTTATAAGATGAGAACTGCCCAAGACTATATGATGAGACAATGTTCCATTCCCTCAATCAAAACTTACTCTTCTAACGTTATCTTTAGAACTATACTATTAATTGCCAAGAATCTTGACAACACTTAATGGAACTAATCTCATTAAGAATAAAGATTGTGTCATTCTATGGACTAATAATATGTAAATGAAGAATGAGGACTACCTTTTGTAGAGCACAGGAACAATGCCTCCTTTGTAAATACCAATCTTTTCCCAAGCAGGTTGAGCCATGTCAAAATGGGGACGAGGAGGGTTACACCAGCCTCCATTGTTACTAGGAAGATTGTAATTTGGTGGGCAAAAATTTGTAGCTGTAATTGTAACAGATACTCCCTTCTTGCACCATGCGGGGTCTGCCTTATAATCACAGATGATCTTGTAGCATTGGCCACAGGATCCTCCATCATTGAACAATGCAGTGCTCAATGCTGCTGTCCTTGTTCCATACCCTGTTGAATACAAATTTCCATATCCACAAGCACCCCCTAAAAAATACCAAATCACTTGTTATTAATCAATATTCTAATCAATCATAAGGTCTAATTGATTAGTATGATGTTGTGTCTTTAAAAATGGATCCAACATATAAGTAGTGGGTGCACCTAGTCTCGAATTTTATAAACGCGTAAAGGAATTTTAAAGAAAATATGTGTATATATAGAGGTGCACCTACTACATTAAAATCTTGGATCCGTCTCTATATACCTACCCATTGTGCCAGAAGCATCAGCTCCACCATAAAATGTTGCATGAGCACTTGACCATCCAGAATCTGCTGAAAACCCATTTGCACTTAAGAAAAGGGTGCACAAACCAATTATGAATCCCAGTGTTAGAATGCCATTGTTGGTCATTTTCTTAGTGGAAGAAAATTGAGGAATTGGAACTATGATAAACTTTTCTGCAATACTGACATAACCAAGAAAAGTAATTGCAACTTAAATAGGTGCACTGTTTATTGGATACAACTACCTCACATGTGATCACTGCAACTAAGGGGGGAAGAAAAAAATAAGAACTGCTAATATAAAATTGAATTATCTCTGCAAAAAACTGAAGACTTCAGACCTCATTCAATTATTCCCACGTTCAACTTCTTAGCCCACATGGTTTTCCCAAGTGAGAAGCTGTGAATGCATCAAAAATCCCATCTCAATTTGTTCAATTTGTTATATTTTTCTAATGTTTTTTCTTGGTTCTTTATGAAATAAGGCTAACACATTCAATGTTCTATTACCAAGTAGAGAATAATTTTTCCGTCAAATTGTGATGTTACCTCACATGGCTTTGATTGACCTACATGCTTCTGAGTTCTGTCTTATCATTATTATCTGTAAATGCACATGTTGTGAGGCCTCTGTCATTTGTATACTTGTTTATATTATAGCTAGGGAGCTTATTACTTTCTATATCACATATTAACTAGGAGTATAAATAACTTAATTATCATTTGTTACCAAAAGAGATTGTTGCCTAAGATCCATGTATAAAATGAATGTCATTATGTCACTATTACTTAATACTTGAAGAGTCACACAGTATTTTCATTTTTTATGATTTGAAATTTTTTAAAATACAATATAGTTATAAGAACTTTGATTTATGACACTTTTCATATATGATATCTGAATATGCAGAGTTTGTTGTAATAAACTTGAGAAACAATTTAATTTCTAATAATACAAAAGTTGGTTTAATAAACTTAAGAAACCTACGTCTGAGACGCAATAGGGCATTAATTCTTGCCCATCGTATTCTGTTAGTGACAGATGGAGTAATATTTCCTGGAAAATGGAAATCTATCCATCTACATAAATCCAAAGTTAAATTAAATCGCAAAATCAAATAAAATCATCTTAAAAATCGATATGTAATTCGTTTGGTACTCTTTGGTGTAAACTTAAAGAAAGAAACTCATACTTAATTTGATATTAAGCTAGAAAAGGATGAAGACTGAAGCGAAATCGAACTAAGTGCCCGTTAGGACATAAATTTGATGGAAGATTTTTCAAATTTTTTTTACTGTTATTGAAAATTTTCGAAAATTTGAAAAACTGCAAAACAACTGTTTTTCAAAATTTTCACTTAAATCACTCACAAAACTTCAAAAACAACCCAAGCTAAAATTTATGTCAAATACCATTTTCACTTGAAAAAAATTTTCACAATTTTTTCGAATTTTACAGTTCTTATGTCCACACGCCTACTAAATTGATACATCTCTGCCACTTCGTAAATTTTTAATTTACATATATAAAAGTTATTTTTATAGAAAATTTTAAATAAATGGCTCATCGTATGTGGGTTGCAATCGTTCTAATGGTAATTAGACATTCATGATCCTTGTTCTGCTCTTCTTCTTTTGAAAATATGTCTGGCTTAACGTAGGCCAAGACTAACTCATACTTGTTGTAATTTATATCAGCTCAATAAATACATGAAACATGTCTTCGCACTCTTATTACTAAATTATAATTAATTAACATATACATTCTCATCTTAATGTATAACTTAAAAAAGGACAGTCCGATACACAAAGCACATCCCGCATTCACGTAGGGTCTGAGGAAGGCCCGCACTCCAAGGAGTGTGATGTATATAGTCTATCCTAATGCAAGCATTAGCGACTGCTCCCACGGCTCGAACCCGTACCTATAGGTCACAGGTAAATAACTCTGACGTTGCTCCAAAGCTCGACTTTACCTGAATGTATAACTTATTCATGGTAATTAAATATTAGTAGGCGTCTTGGCGCAGCATTTTGTAACAAATGTTTGAAGGAATCACATGAATTTGTATCTTCATTTAGTATAGCCAAATTAAACAAAGAAATTAATCCAATTAATCAGATTAAATTCTTGTGTGGTCGGCATTTGTTGGTTGATCGTGCGCTTTCATGATTGATTCCAAGTTGTTTCCTTAAGAGACAGCAGGGCGTGTGTGGAGGAAAGGAAGAGAGTTTCTTGGATTTTATTGATAAAAAATAAGTTAATGATATATCCTTGAACATGAAAAAATTTAATTTGTTTCAAATCTTAACAACTGTGAACTGTACATGTGATTATCTTCTCCACCATAAAGCACATCAAAGTTGATTCTAAAGTACTTTGGGGTTGGGGTGGGGGGTTAGCGGGCAATGATGATGATGGTGCTTCTTTACTTTCAGAAGAAAAAAAAATGTAATTAAAGCGAGCCTGCTAAGAGATGCTTTCCTTAGCCAAGTTCTATCGAACACAGGAGTAAAATCTGCGTTCATACTATTTTTCCTAGACCTTATACTGTGATTATTATTTGGTTGTTTACATTAAAGGGAGCCAGTTTTCCATGCAGAGTGAAGGACACAGTCTTTCGTCTAAGATAAGATAAAATAGTCTCTTTATTCATCTGAGTGAATTATTCTCTTTATATGAAGTTCAAAAAGTGAGAAATATTTGTTTAGACCAAAGATCATTATCCTTCAACTTATGATAAGATCAAGATATATTAAATCGCAAGATCAAATAAATTAATCATCTTAAAAATCTATTTGTAATTTGACTCTTTGGTGTAAATTTTAAAAAAGAAACTTTTACTTAATTTGATACTAAGCTAGAAATGGATGAAGCGAAATCGAACTAAAGTTACAAGTCTCTGCCACTTCATAAATTTTAATTTATAGATTGAAAAGCTATTTTATAGAAACGGCTCATCGTATGTGGGTTGTAATCGTTCTAATGGTAATTAGACATATTCATGATCCTTGTTCTAATACTCTTCTTCTTTTGAAAATATATCTGGATGTGGCTTAATGTAGGTCAAAACTTACTCGTACTCGTTGTTTATACCGACTCAATAAATACATAAAATATGTCTTCACACTCTTATTACTAAATTATAATTAATTAACATATACAGTCTCACCTCAATGTATAACTTGATCATGATAACTATATATTAGTAGGCTCTTGGCGCATCATTTTGTAACAAATATTTGAAGGAATCACATGAATCTGCATCTTCAGTTAGTATAGTAATGGTAGGCTGGAAATATGGGTTTTTGCTACATTGCTATCACGATCCCATTTTTCCCCTTGTCACGATCCAAAATCTAACTAGTCGTGATGGCACCTAACCGAAACCTCTAGTTAAGCCAATTAACAACTATCCAATTCCAATAAAATTTATACGATATATAAGTAAAAGAAAGTATCTTAATCTTATTCGTTCCCCAAGGACTGGTAGTTCAAATCATGAGCTTCTAAGATTAGAATTTACAAAGCTTGTATGAAATAAATACATTATCTTTTCGAAAAATACATAAACAAATTTTGTTATAAATCTAATGCTACCGTGAAGAGGTAGCTACAAGCGGAACGCAGGTACATCTTCAATTAATCCAGCTCCATCGATCACAACAACATCAACATCCAACATCTGCACGCGAGGTGCAGAAGTGTAGTATGAGTACAACCGACTCCATGTACTCAATAAGTAACAAACCTAACCTTAGGTTGAGAGAAGTGACGAGCTGGGATAAGGTTCAGAGACCAACACCAATAGCCAACAACAGTTCATAACAACACAATGAAAGTAATAAAAGAAGTAACTCAGAGATAAAATGCTAAGCCCATTCACAGTTTCAGATATAGGCTTGTTTTTCAAGTATATCAGTGAAAACCAAATCTTTTACCGAAATCACCAAAAATATGAGTAAGTTTGAAAACTGTAATTTTTCCGCAAAGGCTTTCAACAGGTAAATGTTTCATTTTCAAATGGCATGAGGAAAATAAATCTCTGTGCGTACATGTCAATGTATGCATGCCAACTGTAATACCATGCAATGATAAAACCATATGCATACTCTCGATGCATCAATGCACACAGTCCTCCCAATCACTCAATCCTCACAGTCACTCAGTCCTCACAGCCACTCAGTCCTCCCAATCACTCGTCACTCGCACTCGGCACTCTGCACTCATACTCGCACTCAGTTGGTACCTACGCTCACTGGGGGTGTGTATACACTCCGGAGGAGCTCCTTCAACCCAAGCGTTATAATAAGCCAATCATGGCATAAATCAATAATAACTACTGCGCGTGCAGCCCGATCCCATCAATATCCTCACAATCAGGCCCTCAGCCTCACTTAGTCATCAATCTCTCCAATCTCTCGAGCTCACAATGTCATGAAAGATCAGCCCAAAGATAATGATGTGATGTATCAATGAATGGTAACAGAGACTGAGATATGATATATGGATGAATGTGTATGACTGAGAATGTAATATAAACAGATAGCTCAACAGCGAAAATGGTCCCAGTGGGTCCCAACAGGATAAGCATATATCTGACATGGTTTCTAATATGGATCATAGCTCAATCACTCTAGCACGTAGAGATTTCATGGATACAAATAAGATTAGGTGACTACACAGTACCATAGAAATAACTGAGTCACAATTAATACGGAGCACGCCCATACGCCCGTCACCTAGCATGTGCCCCACCTCAACACCAAACATATATCACGTATATTCAGGGGTTCATGCCCTCAACACCAAGTTTAGAAGTGTTACTTACCTCGAACAAGCCAAAATCCAATACCGAGTAAGCCAAACGATGCTCCAAAAAATCCATCCCGCGCGTACCGATCTCTGAAGGCCTGAAACTAGCCAAAAAAACTCAAATACATCAAATACATCTTAAGAAAACAATTCCAATTGATAAAGGTCGAATCTTTACTCAAAAGCCCAAAATTACCAAAAAGTCCAACCCGGGCCAGCGCCTCGAAACTCGATGAAACTTATAAAATCCGAAAACCCATTCAATTACAAAGTCCAACCATACTAGTTTCACTCAAATCCGAGTTCGAACTGATGTTCAAAACTCAAAAATTCGCTTTATGAAATTTTAAACAAAAACTCCCAATTTCATTTTTGAAATCATCAACCAATTGCCAAAAACGAAGATAGATTCATGAAATATAATAAAAAAATTAGTAGAGAAGACTTACCCCAATCCTTGTGGTGAAAATCACTTCAAAAGTCGTCCAAATCCGAGCTCTCCAACCCAAAATATAACCAAATGAAACCCTTGATTTATATGTTTCCGCCCAGCTGTTCTGCCTCGTTTCTCATACCAAACAATCCCAAAATCACTTTTGATGCCTCCTATAGATTCCTTATGAAATTCCAGTCAAGTTAGGCGTTTGAATCACTCCATTTGACCTTATAA